TATGTTGTTGAAACATGTACTTGCCTTGAGGTTTTCACCCTCTGGGTGCCCTTTGTCGTGCTCATCTCCAGCCCCGCGCTGAGAGAAAGGGTGCAAGGAAGGGGCTTGGTGGACCTGTAACCAAGAGCCAATGGAGCGGCTGAGAGACGGCGATCCCAGGCTGGACAACCTTTGGGGCTGTGCAGGAAGTGCTGCCCACCCTAAAGGCATGCGGCGTGGGACGTCGCCCCGTTTCGTTTTGGTAGGGCCGTAGCTCAACGGCAGTCTCTTCTAACGGGAGGCGGCAAGTTTGGGGCGCGCCGTTTGGAGCGCGCGCGTTGCCAGGAGATGGTGCAGAAGCACCCCTGGCTTGAGTCCCGGCAGCAGGGAGGTAGAAGGAGGTTGCTTTTGCCACAGACCGTGGCGAGTTGTCATACCCATGGCGTCCACGAGGTTTCACTCATCAATCGGCGGTTTGTGCGGTCGATGGTGATGGCTTGGCACGCTCGGGTTCAGGACCGCATGCTGACCGGGGTGTTCGCAACCATTGCCCTCAAGGACGGGGATGATTGATGCCTGTGTGCATTTTGGTGAGCAAGGTTGCCCGTTCAGTTGAGACGCATGTCGCTCGCACTCCGCGAAGCCACAGCTGGGCAAGGGGCTGTGCAGGTCTTTCTGGCCTTTTTGCCGACCGCCTTGTACGTGATCATCCGCTGGGTCATGAGCGTGAAGTCCCACTCTGAGGCGGACTGGCGCATGCATAGCCTTGGGCAAGTCCGAGCCCCCGAACTGGAACTGGGTATTGGCGTTGCTTTTGGGCATGGTCCCTTGCCGTATCGCAGTTGAGACAAGCGCACCAGGTGCAAATCCAAATGCAGATGCTCGACAGCACTTTTGCATGCCGTGGGAGGGTGGGAGGCCTGAAACCTGCACCGTCCCTTTCAATCTGGTGTCAGGAAGTGGTATGGCCTGTTCTTAGTTGCTTGGCGGCAGTCGTGCTTCACGTTTGTGTCTTTTGAACGTGTTCTTGTGTGTGCATCCATGGCAGATGCTTTTTGATGTTAGGTGATGTTTGTGCTGCCGCCTGGCTGCATTTGTATGAATCACGCATGTGTGTGTGTGTGTGTGTGTGTGTTCGTGGTTGTGTTTGTGTTTGTGTTTGTGTTTGTGTGTGTGTGTGTGTGTGTGTGTGTGTGTGTGTGTGTGTGTGTGTGTGTGTGTGTGTGTTTGTGTGTGTGTGTGTGTTCATGGCATGACTTGGTCAGGCGCAAGTAGAGACTTGGCCGATCCATTCTTTGTGCATCATGCCAAGGTTAGTGACATCCCTCAGTCGAGGCGTCACATTGACGCTGGTGCCTTGACTGGCAACTTCGACATTCTTCTTCACCGCTTGCAAGCCCATGCGCCGTGTCAGTGAGGGTCTTGACATTTCTACGGTGTTGGACGGATAGCCGATTCGGTTCAATTGAAGAGAGCTGCCGGCGCCTCTTGTTTCTTCGGTGTGCCTTTGCGTTTGATTGTCCTTGTCTCGCGAGCCGTGCTGCGCGATGTCGGGCACCTTGCCGAGGTCAGCATCGCGCAGAAGCCTGGCCGGATCTTCAGCTTGCTGGCTGACTTCCTGCCATCAGTCCAGAGACTCAGTTTGATCAGGGACATGAGCCCGAGGGACCCCTGGGTGCCAAGGCTTCTCACTTCTACTTCAACTACATCATCCTCGGGTGGATTGTGCCTTGGAACCGAGGCTTTTCTGGACAGGGCGTCCACCACGATCATTGCGTTTGAGTACTCTTGAGTCAACACACCATCGTTTTTCCTAGCGCATTTAACCAGTTGGGCCCAATTCGAGCCATCATTCCAAGGTCGGGGACAAAGTCACCATCTGAGGTGCCCATGATCGAGGTCGTGCGCAACGCAAACTTCTTCAAGCGGCTCAGCTGTCAGCCTCAAGGGTGGGGTTCCATGTTTCGGGATTTGTGCGGGTGAGGTTCCACATGTTCCGGTGGTTCTTCTCCATGTCGGTGCAGGAGACACACACACAGTTGCCCTGAACAGAAGGGTTGTCCGGCCAGCTGACTCCGCACAACGTGGCCAGGAGGCCAAAGAGTACAGCGAGCCAGAGGATCCTGCGAGCTATGGCCTCTTGGTCGAGAAGCGCGCGTTGCACGCAACTTGCAATCGCTGGTGCTCCGCTTCTCGGGTCTACGCCGTCTACGCTTCTCAGGTTGTCCAGTTTTGCGGGGTGAGGCTCAGCCTCCGCTCTCTCTCGCGTCAATCTTCGCTGAGCCGAGGCTTGGGGGCGCGCATGGCGTACTCGATGCTCATTGCGGCAATCACCTTCACGATGCTCGGGCCGAAATGGGGACCCCCCACGTAAAACCCGGCCATCATTTGTGGAGGGAGACGAGGTGTGGGAGTAGGGAATCTAGTGCACATCGAAACAGCTGCAATTTCGCGAAGAATCTTCTTTTTCCTCCGGCATTGCGTTTGGACTCAATGCGTGTGCACTCGGGCAATGGAGACAAGTGAGACCAGGAAATAAAGAAAATGAAGCAAGTCTGGGAGTCCGAGTGGCGGAAGTGGAGCCTGAGGTTTTGCTCCTGCTCCCCGGTGATCCTCATTTTCGCCTTCATCTCCCTGAGCCTCTCACAGGCAACCTACACCTACCTGGCCGCATGGCCATAGTCTCCGGGGCTGGGCCAAACTGTTCCCTTGTTACAGTGGCGTCCCACTGAGTATCACGGATTAGCATTAGAGGTCCCTCGATTTTGACAAACCCAGACCAGATCCAGACTGTTCTGACAGCCTCTGGTGGGGTTGGCCTGTGGTTGCGTTGTGTGGGTGGCTGGAGGCGTCGCACACGCGGATAAAAGCAAATCTGTTTGATCTGAGGTGGTGTACGCAGAGGCCAAGAAGCCTGACACAGGTGGCGTGCTGTGGGTCCACAGCATCAACCAGTTGTTCATGGCCACGACGCTGCAAAAAAGGAGAGGGAGACTGGCGTACTTACATTGTGTTTCCTTCTTTCGCACGCCTCTCGCGGGCAGGAAAGGCACCTTGATTGTGAGTTTTTTTTTTTTGGTTTTGGCTTGCTGCTGTGGTTTTCTTGTTTGTGATGAGAACCCGGTGTGCTTTGTGTAGTTTCAGGGGGCAGAGGCGTTTTTATTTGGTGGCTCAAGCCCTTTTGAACAGCATGGCCTCTTGGCCGTTCACGCATGTTTGCATGTACGTGGCTGTCGACACGTTTGCCAGCTATCAGTGAACTCCATGTGCAGTAAAAGTCGCACGCGCTGATCACCAGCCTCGGGCAGACCAGCAAAACGGGTGCAGCAGTGCGCAAGCCACGCAAAACAAGCAAGATGCTGCAGTGTTTTCGCCCTTTCTGCATTCAGCTGCTAGAGTCAACACCTACACGAAAAAGAACGACCACGGCAGCGGGCATCACCATATTCACCCAACATTCATCGATGCAAGTGTGCCAGGTGATTTGCAAAGCCATGGTGAGAGCACACTGACCAACCTGGTACCGTCTCAAATTCAGTCTCCACGGATTTGATTCCCAGTTTATTGTGAAGCATTGGACAGATGTACTCCAAACCATCAAGCAGCAAACGCTGCAAAAGGCGTTTACGCAGCGTTTGCATTGGCTCAGGTTCTTGGCATTTACATCATCCTGATGACTGGCGTACTGCAGATGCTGAGCAAAAGCCGGAGATGGTTGGGGCCGCCGTTGGTGGCGCCTTGGATGAGTCGACGTTGCTGAAAGGCGTCATTTAGGCACCCCTCCCCAAGATGGGAGCAGAAGGATGGCCTCCCCACGTGGACTCGGCGCATGCACGTTGTAGTATCCCTGGTTAGCCTACGTACCGCTTTGGGCTTTTGGCGGAAGCCGAGGCCTTGGCCTCCTTGGCAGTGCTGTACTTGGGCAAGCACCGGGCGGCTCAGAGGGCAAGCTTGGGGTGTGGGTTTGTCGGTTGACGCCTTGTCTGAGCCCGTCCAATTAACGGCCGAGTGATAGGAAGAGGTTTGAGCACGGAAAGGAAGGGGGCCCTGGCGGAGTTAACATTTGTTAGGTATCAACCCAATTGAGGACCTCATGCAGATGGTTAGCAACTCCACATGAGCAGCGACCAAAACCCGCTCTACTGAGATGGTTGCAAATGTTTGCATAACTGCAATCCTTGCTGGGCCAGGTTGTGGAACATGTGGAGCCACCTGCCGAACTTGCTTGTATGTGCTGCTCACATGGCCAGACCATATGGCCGTCAAAGCTTGGCAGGGAACAGTTGTGGTTGACGTCAATCTGGTGAGGTGGACACCCTAGCCTTTGACGCGCTGCCCTTGGAGGAGGTGACCCGCACGGCTCGCGAGCACAAAGAGATGCTTGGTCCGCGTGCCAGAGGAAATTCCTCTGAAACCCACCAATGGATCCTTCACATAAACAGCTTAGGCTCTCAGCAGCCAGTTTATCTTTCTTAGGCCCAAAGTCCGAGGCTGTTTCTATTGGGGGTGGCGGAATTCATTCGCATGCCCAGGAAGGCCAATCACCAGCAGGGCAGATACCTGCAGCTTACCTGATTTTATGGTCCACACCCAGCCCCCCCACTGAGATGACCCACCAGAGGGTGGCTTTGAGAGGGAAACTGTCTTGTATGAGGCCCAGGTTTGGATGCCAGTGAGGGTGGAGAGGTGTTTGTTTGACCCCATCCTTCCAAAGTTCGATGGGGTACTGTGTCACTTCGGCATTTCACGTCAAATCAGGATGATTATTTTGATGTGCACGCTTGCTGAGGCAGCGTGAATGTGACCCAGACATCGTGGCAACTTCAATGTCCTGAGGACAACCTCATGTGGCGCAGGTGTCACGGCATTCTCAGGGCCAAAGTGCCCTGCCGCCTTGACAGTGCAGGGCCCCAAATCAGGAAACAGCTGACACGTCGCGGGGAAGCAGGAGGGTCTGGCACTGCTGGTAGCCGCGCTGACAGGTCAAGGGAGGGTGAGAGGGCGCGCCCGTTGTCCGCCAGGCCCTGCAACGCGCAGAGAATCAGAAACGCCAGGCCTGGGGCCCTCCCGTCCTACGGTTGTCAAGGTCTGCCCACGGATGGACCCCAAGTTACCAAAAAAAGGCGAACAAGGGCGAAAAGTGACCATATAGATTTGTATAGGTCCTCTTCCTCGCAATTTTGTATGGGGTGCACATGCACTAGGCGAGACGCGCCCTGCTGCAGCTGCTGACAGTCTGGGCCGCGGGCGGAATTGGGAGTGGTGTCCTGCGGCGTGCACACGTGAGAAAATCAACCAGCATCTTCCAGCCAGAGCGTTTTTCCTTCTCAGCAGAAAATCAGGCACCATGCTTTGTGGGAGCGTGAGGTAGCCAAACGATGCGCTAGCAGTGTCCAAAGTTAAAGGGCCGCCCGGCGTGCAGCCGAGCATTCCACTTAAGCGTCCTTATTGCCATTGCTTGGCGCCAACACGTGCACACAGAAAACCAATGGTCCCAATTCCAGACAAGTTCGTTTGCTCAGGTGAAAACACAACGTTGTTTGATTCTTGTCCAGCAGAGTTTCGGGTACCGACACATCTAGCGTGTGGAACCGTGAACGGGGAACAGGTAGGGTGCGGTTCTCTTTGGACACAACCCCCGGGGTGCTCCCATCTTAGGAGCTGACGCAGAGGCTACTGGGCCTGAGCTGCGACCTGGGACAGGTGCGCGATACAAGCACGGGCAAGCGGGCCTTCAATCAAGGAAGACAAAGTCCACCTTTCCTCCTAACGTGCCAAGTGTTGTGAGGGCAGATCAATTTTTCCTCAAACGGACCCCTACTGCTTTTTCGGATGGAGTGTGCACTTGCCTCCGGAGAAGGGGGCGGGGGGACGTTTCCGTGTTTTGCTTGTTTTCTTCATGTCCTTCAGCTCAGACATACCCTGAGACGGGTACTGGCTGTTCTGGTTTTGGCAAGCATCATGTGCAAACCCCTCCCAGGGCCCAAACCATGTAGCCATGAACATGTGCCCCCCGAAGAACACACTATAAGTACGTTCAACAATTCTTTTCAGTAATTATACAGCTATCCAACATGAATGATGGGGTGACATTCAGGAACACTGAAATGCCAGGAAACAAAACGCACTTGGCTTGCGCAAAGAAGGTGCAAAATGCATATATCCGTGGTGGGAGGGTTGACAGGCGTGGGCGGTTGAGTGTGACACGGCAGGCGTCCAACGACCTGGTGTGGTCTATCCACGAGTCAGATGGACAGCAGCAGTGGGATGAGGGCCGCATTGCTTGGGGCCTTGGAAGAATCCAGCTTGGGGGAATACGGTGGTTTGAACACGTTGCTCGCTTCCATGTACCCCAGGCCGCCTTCCCTCCAACTTGCTCGCGTGAGGTGCAGATGCCCAAGCAGCCTCTGGAGAGCCTCGGCCGGCCTTTGCCACCTCCACCGGCTGGGCCCCCAGCGCTTGCACGCTTGAGCGAGCAATGTGCTTTTTGCTCGGCTAGGGCCTGATCATGACACCAGGCGCCGGGCTCGGGAGCTCGGCGAATCTGTTGGAGTTCGGTCACTTTTTTCTTTTCTGTTTCTTTTTTTCTCTGAGGGTACCCTTTTCAGGTTAGTTCAAAAGGAAGGAGCACAAAAAAACAAACACCGCCATTCTGCTTATGTTGATTCGCCCACTTGAGTCCCGAGCCACTCGATGCAGCATCGAATGCCAGGTTCGCGAGGAGCAGAGGCGGAGATGCCAGGCACGGTGCTGCCGTTGCCATGAGAGGCGAGTGGAAACAGGTGGCGGTTGTCAAGGCGGAAAAAGTCGGCGCTGACTCGCCAAGTTCTCTTTTTCTTTTGGCTTCCCTTTTTTGAGCTGAAAAGCGTAGCCTCGAAAAACACAACCCGAAGTGCTTTCTCCAAGGCAGTTCTGCTGATTCCCCGGCCAAAAAAATGAAAACCAGTGCTGCTTCAGATTTGCACGTTGGCATACCGCAGGTGTGCTGCCTGGGGAGGCTGCGGGTGTGGTGCCCAGACCCTCTCGGACCTGGCAAGCGGGACCTCACGTGACCATTGTTGGGACTCGATCTCTTGAATTGGGTTGTCCTAATTGGTGTTTTTGGGGCACGGCTTCATCGAAGTCCGGCCCGGGCCCAAGGCACTCCGGACGAGGAGAGTGAGGCCCGGGCCGGTGCATACGGCGTGCCCGGTGCCCGCACGTGGCACGTCGGTCAATTTTGTGAGAGCGGTGTTGCGAAAGGGTATATCAAAGGAAGCCAGAGGAACACAAAAATGGAGACCAAAGGGACACCAAAGGCAAACCAAAGGGAATACTATTTTGGGGGGTCGTTTTTCCGAAGAGATGCCCATGTTGAACACGCAGCAGGTGCCTGAGCCGCCCAGAGAGAAGGAGAAAGAGGCCAACCGTCTCTTGCAAATCGCTGAGCTTTGCGAGTTTCTGCCCTCGAGGGGCACTACTACATTTCCTGGCGAGATGGGTCGACTCCAAGTTGGGTGCTGGAGCTCAGTGTGGAGATGGCTCGCCTTTGCCAGAGGGGGAGAGCGGAGGTTGGGCGAACTTGTTTGAGAGGACGCCAGCCTTGGCTGAATCATCCCGTTCGGGAGCAAACAGGTCCCTGTGCACAATTCATCAAGGGGTCGGCTTGCCCTTTCGAGGTGCATCCACAGCACATTTGGCGAATCGCCGATGAAGATGTGTGTGGCTCAGAGCGGGTCCCAGCGTTTTGTGTGCGCTGCGCACCACAGGTGATGATGGCCACGGCCGGACTTTTCCTGGAACTGGCCAAGGGTGCAGATTGTGAGGTGGCAAAGCTGTTCAAGGCTCAGATGGACAGAGGGGCTGTGTGTCAAAACTAGACAGAGAGTCTCCCAAAAGCCCTCGAGTTTTGGCATTCCCATATCACACGTGGCACATCCAGACATTCCCTTAAGCTGGGGATGTCAAACTCCGTATGGGGTATTTCTAGGGTATTTACGGAGTTCTTGCTTGGGGCACTTGCAGGGGCAAAGCAATCATCTTCGTTCAGCCCAAAGAGGCAGTTCCTCGCCAAGGACCAAGCTGCTTCAGCAGGGAGCTGACCTGCTTGCAGTGGACCCAGTGGCTGTTCTTTCTAAGCGTGCCTTATCCTTGAAAATTTGCTATAGTGTTTCCAGCCATAGGCTCTGAGAAATGAGTGCCAATCCTTCCAGTTGAATCTTCAAGTGCGGTCCACACGTCTGGGATTTGAGGCAGTGAACGGCGAGGGCTGCCCGGCTCTTCTGCTGGCGCTCCGTGCGGAGGCGGGATACGTGGCCAGAGAGTTGTTTGGACGTGGGACGTGGGGCTTTTCCGACGCTTGCCTGCGCGTGCAGGCCCCGGCGGAGGCATTGGCTGCCGAGGCCCCAGGATTCGGCGGGATCCATTGCCAGGGAAGGCCAAGGCAACGCCCTGAGAGATGTTTGGTGGAGACAAGTGCCTGTGCGTGGCCACCAGTTTGCGGGCTATTTTGTGAGATGCGCAAATCTTCTATGTAAATGATGTCCAGCAAAAAGTAAATTCAGATTCACACCCATGTGTAAAGCGCCGCGCCTTCCGAGCTTGACGCGGTTTACATGGCGTGCAGGTGCGGGGATTGCAAGGTGAAGAACACATACTCTGTTGCGACACGTATCGGTGCTAACATGCTGTCACCAAGCGCTGCAACATTGAGCCAGCCCATTCAAAAAAACAAAACACACCCCAAGCAAGCTTGCCTCAAGGTAGGCGCTGTTCTAGCCCATTGAGCCCAGATGGTGATATCACCGCAACGGTCAAATTCCATTTTCCTAGCCATGGGGCATGTTGGAGCTTGAGCTCCGAAGGCAAGTGGGGCGCGGGACGCATGGAGCAGAATTTGCGAGTCTACGAGGAGGGTGATTAGTGCCACATGGCAGGCCATGGGGCAGGGAGTCTCGCTGGAGAAGTCGCCGCCCGAGCCACTGCGGCAGCACAGGTGAGGCCGGTGTGCACTGGATTGACTTGGCTGATAGGCGCTACTTCCTGCAGAAGGTCAAGCTCGGAGAGGGCTCTTTCGGCACAGTGTGGCGTGCAGTGGACAGGTGGGTGGCTTGGGATTCGCCTTATGTCAAGTTGCGGCATTGGCAAGGCAGACCCAGTCGGTAGTGGCCGTGAAGCAGCTGGACAAGGCCGCGGCTTATTCGGGCAGGTCTGTGTGTGTGTGTGTGTGTGTTTGTGTTTCCTGGGTTGGTTTGCAAGGGAAATCAACCATTTTGGCGGTCCCTCTATAAATCCCATATTGACGCCCTTGATGCCAGGCGGTGCTGCCCAAGCGCGGGGTGCGGCGATCCGACATCGAGCGAGAAGTGGCGGTGATGCAGGCTGTGAGTCACCCGAAGCTCGGCGGTGGCTGTTTGGTTACCCAGTTCTTTAGAGCAGCGGGGTTTGTGCACCGGGCATGTATTCTGCACGTGTTCGCTTTTTGTGGTGAGCGAATCGTTGCGGCTTCAGGAATGTGACGCAGCTCTTCAGCTCCTGGGAGGATTCTCAGAGTATCTTCCTGGCGCTCCTTGGCGCTGGAGTTTGGAGTTTCGCACTTGGCGCATGCGAGTCAGGGTGAGGACAAGCGCGCGCCAAGAACTGCCATCAGTTGATTTGCTTGAACATTTGATGCCGCCTTCTGAAGGGTAAAATTGCGGGTGTCGCTTTCATATGCCCAGCCATTGGCCTGGCCGGTTTCCGGCTTCACGCTCAGGCTGGAATACTGCGCCTTGGCTTGCCGGTTTGGAACCGCTGCTTTGGTGTCTCCGCGGGGGTGTCGCGGTTTTACGGCTGATTGAGGCAACGGCGGCGACTTCGGGGACAAGGCCGGCCTGGAGTCAAAGCAAGCGGCTGTGCGGCACACTGTTGCCGAGGTGAGGGAGAAGGGCATGGAGTTGGAGGAGTCCATGGCTGCAGACTGGATGTGCCTTGGCTCAGAGTCCCTTTGCGCCTTTGGGCGGGGCCTCTTTTTGCTGCGCGACTTGCGGCTCGAGGCACCAGATCGTCTCTGCCATTTGGGTCCTGCACTGCAAGAACATTTGCCACCGGGACATCAAGCCCGACAACTTCATGGTGCACAACGAGGCGGCGAGCGAGAACAAAGCGCATGCCAGAAGTCAATGGTGGGCAGTCCCACGCATTTTTGCGAGCCAAAGAGCAATTGTCAGGCCGTTGTGCTTGCCAATGTTCAACTCTTTGAGCACAAGCGCATGGACACCATTTTTTCCTTGTCAGGGTATGCCACACGAACAGGCTGGCAATTTCTCCTGGTCAGGTGCTGAAGCTCTCGGACTTTGGGCTGGCAGTGCAGCTGGCGCCCAATGCTTTGCTCACCGACAAGTGCGGCACCCCGGCCTTCATGCCGGAGACCCAGCGGGCCAAGGGAGTGTTTCTTGTGATCTTACGGCTTACGGGGGTTGCAACATAGGGCCTAGCAAGAGGCCCTCCAAAAGTTTGCGGTTTTCCCTTTGGTTCCCCTTCAGCCCTAAAAAGGTAAGCCTCGAAAAGGGACGTACATGCGCAAAGCCACAAATGGAGAGCGAGAGAGAACAAATGTGCTTTTCTTTTTGACTGGTTAAATGAGAGGAACAATCATTTTGGGGGACCTACCTTGACAGTAGATGCACGTGTTTGTTTCGAAAGGAGGGGAGGGTTGCTAAGATCTTGGGCCATGGCACGCGTTCAGCACTCGAGTTCCAAAACTCTTGCTCCGACAGAGCAGCCCCACAAAGCGAGAGCGAGAGCGAAGCCAAACATGTTGAGGTGTCGCCCGTTTTGAAAGAAGCCCAAGTGGGCGTCCTATGATGGTGGTGTCTTAAAATGAGGGTTCCCCTGTTTCGGTGTGAGCCTGAAGGAAACGAAGGAAACCACTGCAACCATTTGCGCAAGGCTCTTTTCTTGTTTTCGTTCAAGCCATATCGCACAGCCATCGAGGGGGCCACTAAATGGTAAGGGAACTCAAGTGTCAGTTTGCAAGGCACCCGGGTCCAAGGGACATGGCTGAAGGCTTTGAGACCGAGTGAAGGTCGCCGGAGCAGCACCAGCTGGCGCGAGGCAGCAAGGGCCGCTTGGAGTGGGTAAATGCCACGCACTTCTGACAGAAGCAAGGCGCGTGATTCTCCAGAAACCCTCTCGCAGGTTTCAATTTTGTTGGAAAGAGGAATGGGAGGACCCAAATCAGGCCCCACATGTAGAAGAAGCCTCCTTTATTTGTGGGACGGATTCCTCAAAGGCGCGATATGCAACCACGATTAGCGAGCTGGCATTCAACGCAGCGCAGCCCAATAAAATATACAGACAACACCAGCCACGTTTTGCTGTGGCAAATCTGAGGTTACAATCACTCTTGTGACGTGTGGGCTGCTGGCATCACCATGCACCTGAGCAGAGAACAAGCGCAAATGCTGCATACGTGTGTTGTTGTGGCAAGTGCGCACGAAGATGGTTAGCCACACCCAAGTTACCCACATGGAACCTGGGAAAGCCCCTTGTAGGATGTTAGCAAACCTGCACTAACCTGCTGGGGCACCTTGAGGTATATGCTGATGTTTGCAGGCAAGCACCCCTTCCTGGTCAACAGACGCTTTGGCTTGGTTGGCGTGCTTTGGACAAAAGGTAGTTTGGCCAGTTTGTGCTGAGGTCAGCAGTTGGATGAGCGGTCTTTGCTCTCGGGGCATTTGGACTTCAGCGTGGGTAGTGGTTTCTTCGGCTTTGCCATGCCGAGCCTTGGCCATTGTGGCAAACACGTGGCGTTTGGAGGCTTTGACTCAAGTGTGCTCAGGAAGGACAGATACTCTGAGACCGCCCGGATCCTCTGCAAACAGCCGCTTGGCTGGGCGCCTGGATGTCTGGGTGCCCAGTCCTGATCAGCTGAGGATGGTGACCCCGGACATGTCTCGCCGGATAACTGCGGCACAAGCACGTCAGAGTGTTTGGTTCAAGGACCTCCGGCATTTGTCTTCATTTGCATCATTTCTTCGTGCACCGGCGGCACTGGCAGGAGCATGGTGTTGGCAAGCGCCCGGCTTCTTGGCACAAACTGTATGATGCTGCCCAATCTCCGGCTTAGTTCGAGTCGCCGGGGTGCGACCGATTTCTGCTCGACCAGGAAGCTGATCCCATTGTGCCTGCGGAAGGCAGCCCCGCTTTGGCGTGCGACTTGGCCAAAACGCTGTGTAAAAATGATGCATGCTCCCTCCTTCTGCATGTCTAGTGCTTTGCTTGCCGTTCTTATTTTGTTCTGTTCAGTTGTTCTGTTCCGTGGTTGTTTCTGTTGCTTTCTTGCTTTCTTCCTTCCTTTCTTCTTTCTTTTTTCTTGCTTTCTTTCTTTCTTTCTTTCTTACTTACTTACTTACTTTCTTTTTCTCTTTGTTTTTCCTTTTCTTCTAACCTTCTTTATTTTTAACTTTCTCTCTTTCTCTCTTACTCCCTTCTGTCTTTCTCGTTTTCTTGCTTCCATTTTTGTCTTTCTTTTCTTTCTTCATTTCTTTCTTTCTTTCTATCTTTCTTTCTTGCTTGTTTTGTTTGCTTGCTTGTTCGTGCTTGCGCGTGCGGGGTGCATTGTTTTTGCGAAGGCAAGCCCACGCCGACACCCATTGCCAGGCGGGCATCGAAGGTTTCGACGTTTCGGGGAGGGCTGCGGAGGGGCCAGCGCGTGGGACAGACAGAGAGGGCGGGTAGTTGAAGTTCAGTACAGTCCCAGCCAGGAATTGGGGCCGCCCTTATTCTTTACATTGGTTTGGGGGAAACTAGTGTCTTACTGATGGGCTTTGATTCGGCAACCTCAAAAAGGAGGGAATGAAGGGGCCGAAAAGACCGCGACATTTGCAGCAAATCGGCTCCAAGATCGGTAGAACTCTTCGTGGCCTGGCTGACCGCTCGGCGCCATGTACCGAAACCATCAGTATGATATGGACTGCATCACATGGAGCCCTGCCGGGCGAATCTTGCAGGCTGGCCGAGGTTTCAGGCTACCCGATGCTGTTGGCTTCTCCAAGCAATGGGCTCGCGTTCAACTTGAGCTCCAAAAAGTTAGACCGGACCGGACCCTCAAAAAGACCCCCGAGAGGTGATGGGGAGGGGGTCAGCGCGAGTGTTGATAGTGCATGCAGGTGGAGTACGCCATGGAGGCCGTGAAGCAAGGCACGCCCGTCCTGGGCTTGCGGTCGAAGACGCACGCAGTGCTCGTGTCCTTCAAGAGGGCGCAGTCGGAGCTGGCGAGCCACCAGCACCTGGGCTGATTCGCCTTCCGGCGTATTTCCCTGTAAGTGGATGCCACCAGGGCCCCATTTTTGTTCGTCCCCTCACAGGTCTCCCGGGAGTCCTTTGCTGCAACGTGCGGGAAATGATGTGTGTG